TTGTAGTTCCAGGATGAAGAGATTAATCCCTGTGCTTTTGGATCAAATATATGCAGGGTTAAGCGAAGAGTGAAGGAGAGCCCAGGCTTCATAAGCTCTCAAATCAATGAAATTAACCACTGAATGATCCTCTGACGTGAACAGAAATATTGCTCAGTTTCCAGGAAACATCTTTCAAAAACACATCATTTAAGTGGGTAGGCATAAATGTGTCTTTGCTCTGGGATGAGGAGACTGCTTGGCGGCATTAGGTCAGAGAGGGTGATGCCTTGACTCTGAAATAAAATCCTAGCCCTGCTAGGTCTTCCGCTATCTTCGAGGACCAGCTCCAGATTGATCTCTTAAAGCTCTTCCCTGCTAACTCTACCCAACAAAAATTTTCCCTCTCACAGAATGTTTACTTACTTGTGATCTTCTGATAGCTCAGGTTTTATTTATGAAGAGTCTGTGCTCCTCATAATATCACTAGGTTAGAGTTTCACCTAGTGGACTTGCTTTTAGTATGGCCTTTAGAAATACATTATTTAAAAATGAATTGAACTCTGCAATCATGTCATGTTGCAAAGAGATGGAAGTCAATTCACAACAACCACTGTCTAAGGATTTTTGTACATTTTTAGTACATGTTTTAATATTTACTAATGCTTTTACTGGGCATCAAACTCTTTTTTTTTTTTTTTTGGTACATGCCCCTAGCGGGAACCGAACCTGGGACTCTCTGATCCACAGGCTGATGCTCCAACCGCTGAGCCAAACCAGCCAGGGCTGGGTATCGAACTCTTTGAAGGGAAGAGTTATGTACATTGGAGAGAAGTTGGGTTCGTCCTCTTTGTTCATCATCTACAAGTGTGTGACCCAGGATGCAGGCTCACAGTCACTGTTGGCCCCATTCCCTTTACTTCCTCCATGATATTCTCTTTTACATTGTCATGAGTATGGTTAATAAATATTAAAATGTGTGGTTGGGATTATTTAGTACTGATGACTTGGGTGATACTTGTTCATTCTGAAACCACTGTAGTAGACAATGAGTAAACCTCTAAAGAAAAGAGTTTGGAAGCAAGGGGAAATAAAACATGCAGAGGACTCCTCCTGATGCTGAGACATACACAGTGGATCACAGCTGGGTGTTTTTGAACAAAGGCTTAATACATTTCAGACTCTGTGGAACGTAGGTACTCACAGTGAAACACAGCAGCACAAAAACTCTCTTCTTCCTGTTTTTCTTTCCTTGGCATTTTGCCATTACCACCCCCTGCCATCCAGAATCTCAGAGATCTCCTTTCACCGTTGTTATTGTGGTTGAATGCTATGAAACTCAGAGGCACAAAATTATTAACATTCACACAAATCAATAAGTAAAACACCAAGAACCCCAAAAAATAAATGGGTGAAGAACAAATTAAGAAGGTCACTTATTGGTTAATAAACTTGGAAAACTATTTCAACCTTCTAGTGGTAAAAAAATATAAATAAAGCATTAACAAACCCCCTTTTCACAGATATTTAAGCAATGTTTTTGTTAGAAAAGGTGAAGCCCCCAGGCTAGCATGATGTTAAAACAATATAAATTGTTGCATTTTTTTAGAAGCCAATTGATCAATGTTAAGAGGGTGAAAACATTCATACTAGTTGAACAAATATTTTAATTTTGAGGAATTTGCTGTGAGAAAATACTATATATGTTTGAATATAAAGCGAGGTGTATTATCCTCAGAGAAGAGAGAGTCCCCTTATATTTGATTTCTTATCAATTACATTATAATGCCTTCATTGCAATTATTTTATTTTGCACAGTTAAGTGCCGTTTAATGAAGACACGTTATCCTGTAGTGATCTTAATCAATGCTAGTTCGTGGATGCTTATGGAAGTCCCCCGATGGGATTAGTCAAAAAGATGAGTACATAATTTAACAAAAACTCAGTAACTGTTCTTGGGAGTATGCCTTTGAAATGACAAGTGTTCAATATTGTTTAAACAAATCTTTTAAAGTAAATATTTTGTTGTGGAGATCAAGAATATCACTTACAGGATAAATAGCAAAACAACTGTTCTAATGTTATGTGAATAAATATTGTAGTTCAGAGATGTTTTTAGTGATAGCTTCATATATGGATTTATAACGTGCTATGATTCAAACAATTCAGACACAAGTACTTTGAAACAATGTTTGAAGATTAAAAAGGGCAGCTCTAGTGATGACAAATACATCGATTTGAGATGCCTGTGAAGCATCTGAATAAAATTTGTGAACCATGAGAATGAAAAACCAGTATTTCAAGATTAATATACTATTTTATATAATATGTGATTTTAAATATGTATGTGTAACTAAATTGATATATACAAAATGTGAAGTAGAATTTGACAATTTCATTTACAACCCTAACCGCTTATATATTCAAGTTAGCCCAAAACCTAATTTTGAATCTTCTATTTGAAGAAATGGAGACTTAGTTCAGATTTTATGTGTGTATATATTATTGGGAGGGAGGGGGGAGAGAGAGAGAGAGAAACATTATGTGAGAGAGACACATTTTATATAAGGGACTTGATCATCCTTGGATTTTGGTATGGGGGGGTGGTCCTGGAACCAGTCTCCCTCAGGTACCAAGGAATGACTGTAAAGTTTTGGGGGATTCAAAGTTATACGTGGATTTCTGACTGAGTGGGTATCGGTTCCCTTAACCCTTATATTGTTCAAAGGTTAACTGTTGTATGAATTGGTTTCAGATAATTTCCTGATACCAGTTTTTGATGGGAATACAATGAAATCATATGAGGAAAGGGAACAGAAAGATGAGAACGAGTGATGTACTTTACAGTTTGTAGAGGATGGGGAGCTGGCAACCTCTGTTAGCTATTGCCAAGACTTTGGATTATTCTAGCCATAGCTAAGCACACTTGAGGAGGGGTGGGATTCTGCAGGATTCAATAATTCTGCACCCTTTAAATTTTCATATTTTCTTTCAGAGACCTTAAGAAAATATACATCCTAATACTGACCTTTATATTTTCTGGAGAGATCAGGTTAATATCAATTCAAGTGATAAATACTTTGAGTCCACAACAGTATTTTCACTGGTACTAATGTCTTTATTTCTCTCCTTGCACGTTGTCCCTGTCCTTCCTATCTTTCTTAGCTTTACTAGGTAGGCTGTGCACAGTAGGGACCTATTCTTGAAGAAAAAAATGTACCAGCTTAGGAACAGCCAGGATTCAGTCTGTTATAGACAGCTGCAGTGCAAGGACATCCTTGCAAGGCCTAAGGCAGACTGACAATAATATCTGATTAGCAGAGTCCCCATTACCATGTCGTACATTTGAAGAGAGGAAGGTTCTGCTGCTAATGCCTTTTAATGCCTATCTGTTGTATGGTCACCACATGGGATTCAGAGAGGGAGACGGGCAAGGTCAGTGATGTGGGAAAGCATTATGTCAAAGTTCTGACTAGATTTTTAGATTTCCCTGAAGTACATGCAGAGTGGTAACTCTTACTTTCCAAAAATTCCTTTAACTCTCAGCCTTTTTTTTTTTTTATCCTCACCTGAGGGCATTTTTCCATTTTATTATTCAGATAGAATGGGAGGGAGAGAGGAAGAGAGAGAGAGAGCGAGCGAAACATTGATGTGAAAGGGACACACCGAGTGGTTGCCATCCGCACAACCCAACCAGGGCTGGGGACAAACTGCAACCGAGGTACGCGCCCTTAGCGGGAACCGAACCAGGGTCTCTCTGGACCACAGGCCGACGCTTTAACCGCTGAGCCAAATTGGCCAGGGCCCTCTTGGCCTTCTTAATTCCCACAGGAAGCACCCAATCCCTGAAGATGCACAGGAGAAAGTCTCCCAGTCTCTGTCGTGGACCGGGTGTCACATGTTTGATGGAACTGCAGTATGGGAATGTCTAAGAAGCTAATTCTCATGCCCTTCCCTGGTAGGTGCTTCCTGGGTAGTTGGCAGTTGAGACCCACATCTGTTGTAAACTGTCCCAAAGCCAGCAGCTTTTGTTCTCCGAATTGGAAAGGAACTCAAATGTGGGGTTAGGGGTACAGGGAACCACAGGATGTGACATTCTGGGTCTCCGTTGCTTCATAAGGGAGGTGCATCTGTTGGATTAGCAGCTGGTGAGGAAACTGAGTCAGCAGGGGCACAAGCAGTTTCTCAGCGCTTAGGTCCCATCCGCTCCACCTCTTTTTTAAAATACGGGCTTTTCCTGGTTTATTAGCCAACCTGTATAGTCAGGTCTGACTATGGGATCTGTGTGAAGGCGTAAACAATGCTGAACAAGATCCTTCCGTCAGATGCGATGGAGACCAGATGGCTTGTAGTGTGGAAGGTAAAAAGCCATGGCACAACCATCCGAATCCCTCCTGGCAGGTGATCTGTCTACACTGAGAGTTGAGTTGATTAGTGCATGTAGGATAAAATCTCAATATTCATTACTGAACTCTCTATATGCAGAAACAATGTATGGGGACTAGTAGAAATATATCCAAATAGAAATGCAGTGTGATTAGAGACCTTGAATCATAGCTCTTGGAGAGAGAGAAAAAGATGTTCCTCTGGAGTCAGATTCACTAACTTTACCTTGAGCCTCCAGACTAACCCAAGATTATGCTGACTTTCCCAGGTTATTTTTGAGTAGACTAGATCTGCCATGAATCCATGATAGAATGAGGTGTGGTATTAAGAGAACAAAAGTAGACCAAAGAGTTGAAGAAGACAATGCTTCCTTCATTCTTCCATGAAGGCATATGTCTGGACAGCTCCCATTAGAGTTCACGGAATTGGTGCATTCAAATCTTTGCCCAGGAGCTTTTTCTTCTTCTTTCAAATATGTTTTTATTGATTTTTTTAGAGAGAGAGAGGAGGGGAGAGAGAGTTAGAAACATCAATGTGAGAGAGAAACACTGATTGGGCGCTTCCACTACACCCCCCAACTAGGGATCCAGTTCGCAACCAGGGCATGTGCCCTGACCAGGAATTGAACCTGGGACCTCTCAGTCCTTGGAATGATGCTGAATCCACTGAGCTGTACCGGCCAGGCACCCAGGAGCTTCATAGGAGTTATATATCCTGTGGAATCTAAGATTCAGTTCTGAGCCTTTACAGGAGTGATATGTAGATAGCCCAACCTTTTGCAATGGCAAATATAGTAGTAGGCCAAGTTTGAGCTCTTTGCTCCTGATAGCTGCCTGGGAAAACAGAAATAGAAGAGGAAATCTTTCCATAGAGGTTTCTGTAGAACTGAAAAAAAATTAACTTGTACATCAACCTTGCAATGGAAATTAGAACGAATAAGAAAGCCCTTTGTGAGTTAGCTTCTAAGGGAAATACTAGAAAACACGAATAAACTAGAGCATTTACAGAAAAAGAGAAGAAAATTCATGCTTAATGAATGGTCAGCTTCAACAGCTTGGAACATATAATTTTCTATCAGAATATTGATAATGTTTCAGTGAACTTGGGTCTGGCTGCCTTGTGTTGAGTAACAATGGCAGCTACTGTTTTGTATGAGTTCAATCAGGAGACACAGGGAACAATTAGTCTGATCCCCGAGACTGCTGTTTTAGCAGAGCCTTTGGCTCAGAAACACTTTGAGATATCTTGTGTTTTTCACGTTTTATTTTTTTGACTGTTGTACAGAGCTGCTATTATATCTGAGAACCTTACCCTTTCCCTCCCGTGTATGTATGATGTGTATGTATGACACCTGTATCGGTGACACTGATGACTTATTTGTAAGCCTTGCTTAAGAACTAATTAATATCAGTACCTCAGGTGGCTTACAAGATTGGATTCTGAGGCTACAATATAGTAATATGAACTTCCTGGTCTCTTTCTTACTGTTCTCAAATATAATCAGATAATCCTCTGTCTGGTTACTTGGGAGCCAAGTTACATTTTTGCAAAAGCATTCTAAAGAGTTGCTTTAGAAAACCTAGGAAAGTGTAAGACTAAAGACAAACCACAGCCTGAAGCCCAGGCTGCTGACTTGAGCACAGATGGGGGAATGTTAACAGCCAAGAAATATGAGGTCTTTGGCTCCTTTCCCAGAACTGCCAGGCTAAGACCTTGGCAGAGACTCAACAGGAAACTGAACTCTATTTGCATATCCTTTTATACATGGGAGATTAAAAGCTTCAACCTTGAGTGATCACAGTTTTTGAGAATCACGATGAGGCATTAAAGAGAAGGAGGAGTGTCCCAAGGGAGATGATCTGGAGGCGAAGCAAGGTAGGTGTGAGGTTAGCAATGACTTTCAATTCCCTTTGATTAATCATGAGTGTATTTCATTTGGTGGTTTTAAATTTTATTTTATCCTTATTGGGTCAAAGCTAGGCAGGAATCTGTGCTTCCCGATCTTGGGAATCTGTCAGATTTGATCTGCTTTCTTCTCATTCCTGTTGGGCAGAGACCTATAGCTTATTAGTGCTAGAGGAACCTTAGAGATCATCTCATGTAAACTCTCTATTGTACAGATGAGAATCTGGGGTTCGAGGAGGTCAGCTGACTTATCTAAAGTCACACACACAAAAATGAGTTTTGACTTCTAAACAAAAAAATTTGTTTTCCCCAACAGGCTGCTAGCTTTTCTTAGCGGGTGAAGGTTTTCTCAAACCTCAGATCCCGGCTTTCCATCCAGCACGTGGTTTAGAGCAGATATCCTCACAATCTTCTCCCATCAAAACATGTGTTTCTGACACAGAGCAGCTCTGATTCCCTGGCTTTTCTTCCTAGCTCCGCCGGATAAGGTCCCTATAGTTAGTTCTTTCATGGAAGAAGCCAGAGGACTGAAGTGAGGCTATTTATCCTTTGGATTCATTCATTTGGTTTTTTTGTCTACTAACCCCATGTAGACAGCATGGTCAGAATGAGGATGGACAAATGCCACCCCTCACGGGTTAGTAACTAAACTTTATAGCTTCCTATTTAAGGATGAGAAAGTATCTCTCTATTCCTAAAAGGGTACATTGATTAAATGTACCCTGAGGCTGGGGAGGTGCTGCAGGAGAGCAACCTCAACCTGGGTGAGACCGAGCTTTCTGAAAATTGAGACCTGCTTGTCTAGCTATTGTCTTAGGCATCTGGACCAAGTCTATTGGAAAAAGACTTGGCAGAAAAAATTCATTCTCCTTGTTACCTCCAGTGAAGCCGGGACTGGCCTCCGCTACCTTCATCTGGTATGAAGGGCAATGAAGACATAGTATGTTACTGGGAGCCAGACCATCACAATAATGAACTTGTCTTCAAGGCATTAGTGCAGGGAAATAATTTAGAGAGGTTGTCTGGGAAGAACATTCTTGATGAGGTATTTTTATGAAAAATGTACTGACAGCAATTTGGATTTCTTGTTCTGGAAAAATGGTGGTGCTCATTGTCAATGTTCCCTCTCATTCTATATCTTTTCTTTTCTTGGTGAAAATCACTCTCCTTCAGACCATGAAGAATAGAGGGGAATGAAATATTAGCATTATTGAGCACCTTTGGTGTACCTGTCACCCAGGTGTGCCAGGTGCTTTCTCACAATAATTTTATTTAATCCTTGCAATAACTCCATGAAATAGGTATTATTATCTCTGTTTCATGAATGAAGAAATAAAAGTTTAGAGAAGGTAAGCAACCTTTTTCAGGTCCCACATGAATAAATGAGGAGCTGTGATTCTTACCCACTTTTGTTGGATTCCACACCTCATGCTCTTCTTACTGCTAGAGGAACTCACATATAAACACGTTTAGTTTATAGGCCAAGATATATATAATTAGAACAAATTTTTAAACTTGTTCATTTTAAGATCAGTGAAAGGAACTTATCAAAGTTAGGGACAATGATCAGACTATTGTTTTTATGTTCAATACATATTAATATTTTTGTGAATGATTAAACATTTTTATTTTTGTCATTTTACTTATCTGCACTATATTGCCACCTATTTAAGGGAGGATAATATACCTACTTAAATTATGCCACAGAACGAATTGTTAACACAATAAGGATGTTTTCATGGACCTGCCAATGTGGGGAGGGTTATAGAAGGCATTTCTCTGGAACCTAGACCAAACTCCACTCCCATCTTTCTTTCAGCTCTGCCTGATTACATGTTGTGCTCTTTCTCTCTTTCCTTCAATGTCCTAGCAGTCAAGGGCTAAGAAAACCAACTCTGATGGGTGGCCAGTCCCACCTGAGGGGCAGGCGTGAGTTAGACTTTCTGACCACCCAGTCATTATTCAGAACATTTTCACTGCCCGACAGGACTTCTGGAAGGATCACTCAGGACTGATTCCTTAGGGTCCGTCCTCACCCTTTGGCCCAACCAGCTCTGGATGCAGTAAGTTGGAAGTTAAAAAAAAAAAACTGGGAAAATTCAAAGGAGTAGAGTGAAGAGGTCGTGTTTCACATGGAAAAAAAGCGTAATCCCATTCTGAGCAGGGACATGCAGGCCTGGGATGGGGAGATCCCGCTGGAGGAAAGAAAGACACTGATCATATCTGCAGGTTCTTCTTTTGTTCTGCCCATCAGAGAGCTTTACCTTCAGTTTCTCTATGGTTCACTGCGGTGAGAGCACAATAATACTGGGCTGAGTCCTCTGGTTTCAGTCTGTTCGTTTGTAAATGCAACTGATTTTTGATGATATTCCCGGTGATAACAAATCTCCTCACAGAAGATGCGTAATGCTTAACATGCCCTGAAGTACTAATTTTGGAAACATGTTGTTTCTGGAGCTTTGGAAACCAGTTAATCCAGAGGCGTCCACAGTTAAACCCAGAGGTGTTGTAGTTGATCATCAGGAACTCCCCAGCATTTCTCAAGGTCTCCCGAAAGTGCTCCAGCTGATTCAGTGACTGGACCTCTGCAAAAAAGAAAGCCCTGATAAGAATTGCAAGAGACAGACATTATAGTACCTCCAAACTGATGACTCCTGTATTACCATACGCAGTGGTTTTCAATCCATAGGCTGCAAGAATGTCTATTTAGTCAGGGGCACTGACCTCTTTTCCCTTAGATTGTCAAATAAAAATCAACAACAGCCAACACAACAATAGCCGTCTGGTGTGAATGAATCATAACTATATCTTTTTTTTTTGGTCAGATCGGCAAAAAATGAAGATAGTTTTTGGTGTGCCGCAGAATTTTAGAATTTAGTGATTTTATGTGTGCCGTGAGATGAAAAAGGTTAAAAATCACTGCCAAAGACAAACAGCACAAGGAAGGTCAGCCCAGACAGACAGCACGTGCTGGTGACTGAGGATGGAAAAGTGCCCACAGACATACAATGGAAGCTATTGGTCTTTTTGGATGCAACCTGTAAGTGTAGTACCATGGGGACCCAGTAGGAAATAGTTCTACCTTCCTTGCAGAGCCTCCTTTTATAGAATAGAGCCTACTGCAGTCAGAAAGGACCCTGGGAAGGCATTGGATCCACTCTTTTGCCCATAGACATGATTTTAAAAAGCTTTTAATAAGCTCCAGAGAAAGGAAGCTCTTGCGTTGGGTGGCGGAGTGCCTTTAGAGCAGGCTGCCTGGGCTGTGTCCAGGCTCAGCTGCTCCAGCACTGTGGGCTGGGACAATGCCTTACCCTTTCCTTGCTTTGGTTTCTTCTTCTGTACAATAGGGAGAGTTATTACAATGAGTTATCATGAAGATTAAGCAAATCAAAATATGTAAACTACTTTGAACAGTAACTTGCATGTAAAATACCACAAGACTGTAGGCCTTCAGCTATTATTATTAGCAGTACGTCTTTATAGTTGTTGATCATTTTGATTGTCAAGATTTCATTTTTAACCTCTCTTTGCTGAAATTTCAGAATGCTTTCTCTTTTTCTCAGCTCATCGGCAATGGGTATGACTGATCATAGTCATCGAGGGTGAGAATTGGAAGGGCCCTCAGGCTGTATCAGTTCCAGCTTCTTCACCTTATAAAAGCGTCTGGGAGGTGAAGTGATGAGCTCAAGTTCTCACAGGGCAGAACTAGGTTTTGAACACAGGTTCCAGTGGGTTTCTT